ATACTATGTACAAGAATACTGTATTGAGAATAGCCAACACCCTAAAATGACCTCAATGATAGAGTTCTATCGAGTATAAAGCTAGCAACGATTAAGCAAAAAGATACAAAAACAATACGATCTCGCTCCTTGTATCATATTTAAAAAGACGTCCTGGTACAAAGCATTGCCTCACCATTTGCTTTGATTTATAACCTAGGTGAACGGTATTGTAGGCATCTCTATAAATAGGCCATGGCTGATAACAAATAACAATCGTTTCGACACATTTATATTCATTAAGACAAGAGCTGACATATTGACTCTAATAATATCACATTATTGGAAATACATGACCTTATGAATTCACCGATACCGTTTATCTTTAAGACTTACAAATTGGCTAGCTTTTCCATAGCTTAGGAAGCTTCTTCACCGTATTCCTCAATAATACGCATAACATTAATATTGTCACTGAACGTTATATCAGAACCCAGAGAGATAAATATAAATCGCTCCCAACACCCCCCACCACCCCCCCCAGACTCCCATCGCACAATAACATCACCATAGTTCGTAAGTCTCTTTGCATCGAGCACACATCAACGAGACTCGGGGAGTGATGATGCTCTTCTGAATTTGACAGAGTATCAGAATGAAGAGATGTTCTGGATAAACCGCGTTCAGCGCAAGGCATTTCCTGAAGAAATGAGACTATTGGAAGCTGGAAAACCGGTTTCAAAGACTAGCAGATTGTTGCCGTTGTCGCCCGTGTGGGATGAAAGTAAGCGTGTAATTCGTGTTGGTGGCAGGCTATGTCGATCGTTGCTTCCTGATGAGGCACGGCAGCCAATAATATTGCCGAATCACGATGTATTAGTCGAGAGGATAGTTTTGCATTATCACAAATTGCATAGTCACACTGGAATCGCACAAACGTTGGCTAACCTGAGATGTAAATTTTGGCTGCTAAAAGGTCGGTTAGAAGTAAGGAGGATATTAAAGAAGTGTATGAAATGTCGAGAGCCAACCATTATGAAGCAAAAAATGGGCTCATTACCAGCAGAGAGAGTAACAGAGGCGCCACCGTTTTTGTATGTGGGAACTGACTTTGCCGGTCCACTTTACGTAAAGACATCCAGAGGCGATGACACAAAGAAAGTCTACATTGTAATATTTACTTGTATGACAACAAGAGCTGTACATCTTGAGCTGGTTGAGAACATGTCAGCTGGGGAGTTCTTACAGGCGTTTGAAAGGATGACAAATAGGCGAGGAAAATATGGTGTCCTGTACTCAGATAATGCGAAGTCATTCAAGAGGGCAGCTAATGTGCTGGAGTTATTGTACAAAGCCAAGAAGGACAAGCAAAAGATCCAGGATTGCTTGCGGCATAATGGAACAGAGTGGAAGTTCATTACAGAAAAGGCTCCATGGCAAGGAGGTTTCTATGAACGGCTTATACGAAGCATTAAGATTCCACTACGAAAGTTTCTGGGAAAAGCACAATTGACGTTTATTGAGCTAGTGACTGTTTTAACTGACGTGGAAGCTCAGTTAAATTCAAGACCATTGACGATGGTATCCGCTGATAAGGAAGACCCGTTGCCATTCACGCCAGGTCACCTGCTGATTGGACGAAACTTGCAAGTTATGCCAGATCTTGATGCAAGAACAAGGGATTCCAGTATTGGAAAAAAGATGGCAATTTCGTCAGCGTATCAGCAAGTTATTCTGGAACAGATGGCAAAATGAGTATTTATCGGAGTTGAATGTACGTAAAAAATGGTTTGAGGTTTATGATAACGCCAAGATTGGGGATATAGTTCTAATAGCGGAGGACAATACGAGGAAACAAGAGTGGATTCTGGGTAAGATTGAGGAAATTTATCCAGGTCGTGATGGACTCGTACGGTCAGTGGCAGTCAAAACGCCGAGAGGGGTAATACGTTGGCCAATAGCACGTTTGCGGATGTTAGAAGGTTCTG